TAAAATGATCAGCGAACGTGACTTCTTACTGCAAAGCTCTTACGGAAGTAGTATCCATTGATAGATTGAAATTCATTAAGATTACTCGATCTCAACGCTTGCGCTGTTTCTGGACTGTTTTCTCCCGATAAACGGGAAACGTCGCAACGTTGCGTATTTAAATTTTTAGATGTGATAGCTCGCTAAATAATTAAACGTTGGATTCTTTCTTTATATTTTTATATCACCTTTTTTTTCATTATCGCGATGGAGAGGAGATTTTGATAAAATATCCACTTTGCGATAGTAGGACGTTTTATTGTATACTTTGAATGATGTGCATAAATACTGATCCGGTCAAACCTGATTTTTCCTGCAATCCCTCTTTACTTCTCGCTTTTCATTCTTATATTTTGTCTTATTTTTACATCCCCTATTTCTTCCCCTCGTCTCGGCTTCCTGGATGCGAGAGCCCAAGAGTGGTTAGTTACGTCAGCCGGTTTGCATTTTAAAGAAGCAATGGGAATATCCCCCTTCCTTCTCCTTCTTTCCTATCGATGAACGATACATCTATCCTACAGTGGAAAAAAAATCTAAATAATCAACGTTTTACTTTTGGACGTGTATTAGCGAGAAATGTTACCCCTGCACGCGCATATTCATATTTATTTTCGCATATTGGAAAGAGCGATCGCTCGAATATAAGTCCACGCGCTCCGCGGACCGTAACACCGAGCTTTTCGAAGCTTACACCCCTATGTATCTTAAACACACAGAAATGCACACCTTACGCTCCTTACGCGTAGCTCGCATCTGCGCGCCCGTGACTATGTCGAATCTCGCTCGCCACCTCTGGGTGTAGAGACGATGCTCTCGAAACGTGCGCCAGTCTACATAGGAGGATTACGCGCGAGCATCTGCTGCCGCGTTCCCGGCTCGCATTACGTGCCTCCCTCTATTACAAGGGGCATTAATGCTCCCGATGGCACACCCGTGTGTTTCCGGAGCAGAGAAAAAACAATGGGTAATTCCCGGGACACTTGTCCCGCAGGAGCTTGCGAACGCGCTCTGGTACCTGTCCCATTGCCTCCCCTCCCCCCCCCTCCCCCCTCCCCCCCCCTCCGGGTCAGTCGGCAGCCGGTGGAAACAGAACGAATAGGATAAGACAAGCGCTCGGTCCCGAAGTAGCCAAGTAAGAAACGGGAAACGGGTACGACTTCTTCATTGCCCCATAAAACGTACCTCAACGTACCTTTTACCAGCACAAATAATTATAATCATAGCAGACCCGATAAAGCACGAAGAGGAGGGCACGGGGAGGGAGGGCGAGAGAGGAAAGGGGATGATTGTCGAGGGACGCGTAGGCGGTTAGATAGAGGCAAAGCTTCTGAAGAGTAAATAACAGCTCCGATAGAATCGAATCTTCGCGCGCGCCTTTACTTCGTCTTCGTCGTCGTCGTCGTCGTCGTCGTCGTCGTCGTCGTCGTCGGCGATGGCGTCTTTATCGGCGCCATTACGCTCGGTTTGCCGTTATCCAACTTTCCAAAATCAGAGAAAACCCCGCCAACGTCGCAAATACTTTCAGTTCTACTTTTCTCTTCCTTCCTTTTCATTCTCTCTCTCTCTC